AAAAAAAAAAAAAAAAGAAAAGAAAAAAGAAAAAGGAAAGTAGTTGTGAGAACGAACAGTTGTAAGTGTCACGCGTCAGATGGCCGACACGCGCAGCTTCACACGGGATTCAAAATGGCAACGCGGCGCGGTGCACAATGTCCTTCGTGTACATAAAGCCGTTGGCCGAAATTGACGTTACGTTTTCACTAAGCATACCGTTCGGTCGGCATAACAACGAAGCGCATCATTAAAAGCCTGGTGCTCGATGCCTTCGAAGTGCAAGCTCGTAAAAACCGACTTTACAACCCCATATACCCGCAATAATTATCCTTTCGTCGAGAAGGAAACAGTTCCCTCCGTTCGCTCTGTTCATTTCCACTCCACTTTCCAACGATATCGTTGGATATCGCGCTACTTTTCCATCATCAACAGTGATACAGAGACGTCGTCCTCCCTTTGTGTCAGCTTTGTATTAAGTCCATCATCGCGGACCCGTGGACACGTGCCGGTTGTAAATCAATTACGACAAGGAACGACCATCCTAAAAATTGAATCGGTACAATGAACAGTGATAGAGATCGAAGAAGAATTTCGTTATCGACCGATTTCGATTATCAGATGAATCTTTTATTTATATACTCGTGAATCTTTTATTTATATACAGCGGAAAGTATTAGGGTATTTGTCAGGGAAACTTTTAAAATTTCCACTTGTGATAAAATATAGGAGAGAGTTGTGTCTATAGTTCAAAATACATCATTCATTTTATCTTAGAATGTTTTTATTTAACAGATAGAAAAGTGAAGTGTGTGAAAAGTGAGCCCGAGTTTATCATCGTACAAAATTATAACAGTTTCAATATTTAGTATTCGAATATTTAAATGTCCGTGTAATAGGAGTCGTCTACTTTAAACCTTCTTTTGAAATACTATGCTTTAAACCCTCATTTGAAAAAGAAAAAAATTTGATTCAGTGAAAATTTGACTGGAAAGGTGACTAAATTACAGGAGAAAAATTGCTCCTGCTCTAACTTCTCTCATCAATGAAAGCGAAGAATATCTCCTATCCTGTATATCAGTCGACGCTACGCAAGTTTCCTCTTGCAACATCGGGAGGAAATAATTCAGTCACGAGTGGGCGATCGTTGTTTCGGACTCGTAAAAAATTTGAATGTCATGTCGATGTGTGTTATCTCGTTTGAGATGTTACGAGGGCACGCGTGCTGAAAGATCTGGCCAAACAGAACGCGTCGATTCAAGTTTAGTGTGGTTCGCCCGTACACGCAGGCACAGACTTTGGCCTCCTTCAAATCGTTTACGTTCGTGAACAAAACTGTTTTATCCGAAAGCGAGCAAAATAACGATAACTTTTAAAAACGAGCCAGATCGTAAAAGCCAGGTTTCGGCTTTGGTTATAAGTTCGTATTATATTAGCCAGCTTCAAACGACTCGCCGTCCAATGGGGACGCTCGTAAACCTAGGGTTAACATTCGGTCGGGTTGTCAAGTGAAAGAGTAGCTTGAATTTCGTTGGGATTATTGTGAACGACGTTATAAGTACGTTTGTTCGATTATACCGGGCTTTCTGAGGCTTTTGTTCAAATTAGAGCCACCGATCGGATCTACGAATCGAAGTTCATAACGCTTTGATTATAAATTTCTCAACTTTCTATCATTGTTACTCAAAAATCGTTGCACATGAGTGCAAGCATGTATATTATACGTATCACGATAAAAGTGACTCTTGATAAATTTGTCAATTTTTTTTTTTTTTTTCAATAAAAATACGTCTTAGAATTCAAAAATGGGTAATGCAATCGATATTATAAAAAAGTTATCTATAGAGGCTCACGAAAGTGTTTTCGATTCTAGTATTATGTATGCAGTGTAAAACTTTTTGAGATTCTTAGCAATGTGATCAGACATGATTATAATAATTCCAAGATTAGAGTCTGAAAAGTTTTAAAGCTGTAAACGCGACTTCTTCAATTTACAGTTGAAGATGGGACTAGTCGATCTATAAGAATAGGAATATTTTTCCTTCAGCTGGTCCGTTTTATGTCTCTCGTCGTTATGACGACGGTCAAAGTCGTAAGACACGAAAGCCATAGGTAATCAGTACCTAACAAACGTTCGATGGAATTCGTGGAATCAGAGTACAGTGCTCGAATTGTGTCCAGGAAGAATAATGATCTTTCATTAACTGAACTTCTTCAAATAACATTCTATACGGTAATTGCAATCGATATAATGGCCTGTGTATGTATATGCACAGCTAAATAATAGTCTCCTGACGACGACCACTGAATAGTGACCATTGTTTCAAACTCCCGTCACAAAAAAGGTCTATCTGGTCGTTATAAATTTCTTTTTACCATAATTTCGTTTTAACGTTCATTTAAGATTGTTGAAAACTCACACGTTGAGGCTACGAGAAGGAAAAACTCGTTCTTTGAATCACTCTAGTAGATAAAAATCCGAACGCGAAACGATGAAATGAAGCATTAAGCATGCGATGTAAATATGTGAAAGTAACATTAAGCGCTTCTTAATGAATAATTCAAATTTTTCAGGCATCTCCTGTAATATATCTTTATTACTTCTTCGCAATACTTTCTACGAAACGATTGGATTAAAATAAAAAATACCACGGGTATAAGATGCACATGGAATTCATGATTCCTTTCATACATATGTTTAATTATTTCCCCTTTCATCAACGTCAGGAACCAAATTAAACGACAGTCACGCAACTAATCAGAGGAACGTGAGGATACAATTAATCGTAATATAAGCAATATAGATATCTCGAAATATGCAGAAACAATCTGATTTGTAGTAACTTTGAAATAACGTGCGTCGAAATCTTATTAACGAAATGTTACATCAAGAAATTGAAGAATATGCAATATTACAGCAAGTTGTAATAAAATAACTGAAATTTATAATCTGTCGTTGTTACTGTATACTCGCGTGTATATATATATATGACACATGAGATCAAAAAACGAGATTCGTGACAGAAATGTTATCAATTTTATTATCGATCTCGAGACGAACGGAGAGTGATGCTGTTCTACGTACGGAGGGTGAGTTTCATAGGTGAAGCAGAGGGGTGAGTAAAAGTCGAAGCACGCAACAGGTAGGTAATTGCCCGCAACCGGTTTTCAACATGTACATTACATGCATGTACGTTCATCAACAGGCAAGTAGTACATCGGAGTAAATAGGGACGAGCATGCACATTAACATTATTAATCGTACTGTAGCTCCTAACACTGTACATCGTACTAATGGACGACCTCAAATTTCAGAGATAATTTATTCTCTTGCAACTCGAAAAATTTTGACGTGCAAACGAACTTCACAAAAGAAATAAATACGAGCAATAATCCGTTAACGATCGTTAACTGCTAAAATTAGATTCATTGCGTCTAATGCTAATATGCACGCTCGAAATACAGAATAAAAATTGAATAATAATAGAATGAAGATTGTTATCACTCACTGGTTAGTGGCTGCGGTAAGTGGCCGATATGAGGCTGCAACGAGGGCAATTTTCTGGAAGGAGGAATACTGATGATACCGCCGAAACCTGTGTGTATGCCGTTGCTACCATGGCTGCTGGCCGGTGAATCGCCACTGCTGCTATCGTAGCTACCCTCGATACTTCTGGCTGGAGGGATAGACGAAACTCGCTCGTTCTCTACACCGAATGGCAGTGGATCCACCTATTACGAAAAGTTCAATCACGATCAGGAGATTGGCAAGATAAAGGCGGTCTATTTGAAATCGCGACAGCTGCAAGCTGCACAGGAAACATAACAGCAATTTACCTTCCATTACAAGTATCCTAACCTGGTGTTACGTGCGTGATGAAACGCGAAATTAATCATAGCTTCTCGCGATTTTATCCGTGCAGTTGCAATATCATTGATTACGAGTCAACGTCTCGAAGGTACAAGCCATCAATGATATATGTATATGATCCGTAATCAGATGCGTTTCCCGTCGATAAAAAATGAAATAAGAATGTGATCGCCAGGTTCTACCAGGTCTTGAATTTTATTATGCACGGAGTGAATGGTAATTTTAAAATTCGCTTGCGAAATTTATTTTAGAAATATTTTGCAATTAACATGAGAAGTAATGACAGCAATGAAATACAGATTTGATTATCTTCATTCAATTACTAGAAAACTTTTCCGCGAAAATACTCAGTACATATTAATAATTTTATATGATTACACTTTCTTATTTCAGGAATTATATATACTACAATTAATTAAATCTTATTAACTGAACTACAATTAATTTTATCATAGTTATAATTGAAAATATTTCGAATTTATTACATTTTGTGGATACAATCACGTACAGAGTAATTTAAAGTTTAAAATTTTACACAACCCGAATTGCATGTATTATATTGTAGAAAGCAGATACAAAATTCAAATCTATTATATCTTAAATGATATTGTAAATATAAAATCCAGAATGTATAATACTAATATTTAAATTAAAAAATATATCTACCGTTTCATATGATCTGCAAACTTTCGTCTTCTTCATTTTCTACAATTTAATAACACACAAAACATTGAAGTATATGAGCATCAATACGATTCTGCGTAATGAAAGATCTAAAATTCTAATAAACAAACTCTAGGAATTTTGAAATTCTGATCGCCATTAAATACATTCAACTATAAAGTGAGTAAAACTCACGAATATTGAAGTAATTCTACGTATCGAAAATTTTATCTGACACAAATTCACAAATATTAATTTATAAAATTCATGAAAAAGATATCTTACATAAAATTCAAAAACAGAATTGCGGATATTTCATTTCACAGTGTGTAATGATATTAATGTAGACATTTCGTGCAAATTATAAGAACGAAATATAGGTTTTCCCTTAACATATAGATACCCACTTGTATATTGCATATTTATATGTTGTACACATCTATTCATATAATTATACAGCACGTAATAGTAGAATCAAACAAAACAGTGTTACATTTCTATTAATAGAAGAATATAAAAGATACAGAAAATAATATAAAACACAAAAAAATAAAGAAGATATTTCACAAAATGATATTAACCCTCCAGCGTACAACTGACTAGCAACGTGCTCGTGAATTCCTTTGATCCAACATTGGATGATTAATTAATTTAGAAAAACGAGCAACCTATATTTCACACGAGTGTTGATAATAAAAATGTTTCTACATACATTCGCTACTTGTGAAAAAAGCAAGAGAAGAACTAACCTCGTCTGCCACTCTAACTTTGACTTCATCCTGCGCCAGTTGTCGTCTCAGCTTTGCCTGCATCGCGGTCACTCGTTGCTTATCGGCCGTGACCTTACACCTGTCGCACTCGCAGAATCGGTACTTGCAGTACCTTTTGTGCGATTTTACAGTGATCTTCAGGCGATGATTGCGACATCGTTGGCAATTCCGCGGTGCACGTGGCTTCGGCGTGTCGTTCGTGGACGAGGATGCATCCGTTTGCATACGTTTGGAGCTCGCCTCGTCCCCACCGTTCTCCATGCTGTCTTGCGAATGATCCTGGTGCTCGAACGTGTTCGTGCCACTTGACCGTTGGACAGTCGGATTCGCGGTTTTGTTCTGTTCGTCCTCTTCACGGTACATAGGTAAGCTTCAATTCAGAGACTTCACGTCACAAAGAATAATCTTCAGAGAGCCATTTTAATGTATGACTCTGCGCTAGGATTTTCACTTCGCTGACTATCCAGTATCTTGTGCTTAGTCGAAATGATGTGTCGTGTCACTTCGAGGCGCGGAGGACCGATCCTCGGCACCGTTTTCTCCCATCCAACGCGAGTTTCACGTCCTGCAACACGGAAAAAAAGAACGCCTTATAAATAAGCGAGATGACTTCGTGAAACACTAAAGCTTCGGGTAATTATCTGAAACAGTATATGATAGTGGAACATCAAATTACTATTTTACTAACCAGAGAGATACATTAAATAGTATTATAAAATCGTAACACAGCATTTATGAACCATTTGGTAAAAAAGGACTTGAGACATTTCGTATATTTTAAACTATATTTAAACCAAAAGCATTCAATGTCGAGCGAATCCTCAGAACTGTCCCAAATATTAAAATATTAAATTTAATAATATTAATTGACTAAAAGTCCATTTTCAGATTTTCAAAGCTTTTATATTTGTTTAAAACCACAACTTTTGATTCAATCAAATAATAATTTCGATATTTATGCACAAACGTGTGATAGCTAGTTGCTAATCTATTAGCGGATTACGCTCAATCTGTTCAATTAACCAATCAGGTCAAAGATCCAGATTCAAACATATGGGAAATATTGCTATCGAGAAGAATTTTTTTTTCTAACTACATCGATGTACTCGATTCGAGATAACTGGAAGATCGTTTAATTGGACAACTTTCCACTGAAATATCTGATAATGATAACAACTATATAAGCGAAACGTTCAATCAAAATTTTACCACATTAAACGCATGGTATTTCTTTTACATTCGAATCTTAGCAATATTATCCTTGTTTAATAATAGCTATATACCAGAAAGAAAATTCTGCAAACTTCCATTAAACGTCGTTCGGTTAAATAGCAAATTTCATTCCTCGTTTATATTTTTTTTGTATTATTTTCAGTAATATTCTTTTAATGAATTACTTCAATACGCTGAAAGGTATAAGCTTCATTATTCCAACCATATTTCCGTGTGTAATTACGATTTAATTAACTTTAACTATGGGTCTCTATATAGGTGTAACTAGTTGTATTTTTAATATATAGCTAAATGTGCAATTGAATTTTTATTAATAATAATAGAACGCTGATTACTCGACTTAACCATGACATACGTTGTTCAGATAGAGTAAAAATTTCGTTATCGGAATATCCATTGTCTGTATTATCTAAATGTTTTATTACCCATACTATGTGTGTGTGTGCAATCTATCTGTATTTCAAGCTATTGAAGCTAATTATTAAAATTAAATCTACCACTGGAAATGAACTGAAATCCTGGCACGAGAAAAACTGTTGTTCTATTGTGTACCTATGCTATTCTATTTAACCATATTTATCTCTGCTAACTACGAAGTTCTACAAACAGTGAAATAATTTTGCTTCCATATGAGAAAATTATAACATTATAAAAATGCTAAAATTATAAAACGCTATACAGACACATATTTTATAAATATTAATATTGAATGAATATAAAAGCCTTTGAAAGCCTTAGACTTTATATTTTCCTATAATTCTTGTAAGAAGTCATTTTCAAATTCATTAATTATTTATCGGTACTCCGATCATTCAACGGTTTGTAGATATCAAACAAAGTTATTTCGGAGCCACCATAACTAGCAATTCAAACAAAATCAGTATTAAAAAATTAGTACTTAAAACTAATAAATTTTATTTTGTGTTACAGACGCTTCTCCCAAAGAACTGCTGTATTTTTAACTTTACTCCAAAATTCTTCCAACAAAATTACAAGTTTGTGAAATATACCACTGTGATTTATCATGCACTCTGATTTTATTTCACTCTTGCACTGCTTTCTTTTGTTTCGCTGTTCGATGATCAATTTTAAAATAGTGAATTCTGAGAAGCGATATCTTCCACAGACATTGGTCACACTGTTCGTTTAAGAACAAGACAAGAAAAATTCATTTTAAGATAACAAATGAGTGGCAAGATACACAGGGAAAGACCAAACGCAAAGCTCAACGCTTGCATAATAAGAATTTGTTGCCAGAATTTATGAATAATAAATGGAAACGGCAGACAGTGATTTATCAAAGGGATATACGGTAGAAAGTGAAATTAGGTTAACATTATACAGCCGAACAAAGTATTACTAAGTAGAGAGCTGATCGCGGCGAGTTTGACGGAATCTTTAGCTGAAATCTGAGACCAGTTGGATATTAAGAACAGATAAACGAATTCTTAAGTTGTATCCTCACCGTATCCTCATTGAGGAGACTTTTTATTGGTGTTTTGTCCCTTTTATTGTCGAACGTTCCCCCAGATTTCTTCGTATTTCTCTTATCAGTAACAAATGGTGCCTGTTCCCATTCGAACCAATAAAAATAAATTAACCATTTTAGTATCTAAAAGCCAATATATTTGGCTCCGTAATCCTGCCAAAGATATCTTGAATCGATATTTCAACTTTTCGTAACGATACCTTATTTTTTTAAATGAGTTTCTATAGTAAAATATTTGTGAAAAGTAACGTTTCGTTTCTACAATAATAGTTTGTAATTCTAGATTCTAAACAGAAATATTGCAAGATAAATACTAGGAGGATTAAGAAATATGTGACAACGAGAAACAAATGCTCTTCTAAGGTTCTGCAAGGTTCGTCATCCGACGCAGAGCGTAGAAACGCATAGATAAACTGTTGGAAATCGAAATGTTTCAGATTATGTATTGCTTCAGTGCGGACAAAATGTTTCTAGAAATTGGTATTTATTTGCTGGAAACATTCAGTAACAATGTTAGTAACAAACTCATTTTTGTTTCAGTAAAAATGAAGTTTCAAACCTCAATTCTGTTTCACAGAATAATATACACGTAACATACAAACAATAATATAACACACTCGAGCGACATGTCATTTTGAATAAATCTTGACTGGAAATAAAGTACAAAAGATACACTGAACTAAATCAACGAAAGTTTGAAATGTAAACTACATAGAAAGATATTTTATAGAAAAACTTCGGACTTACTATCTATAAAATATGAAAATCACGATTAACAATAGAAGTTAAGATATTCTTTTTTTTTTTAAATTCAAGTCTTATTTAACATAATGTAAGAAAATGTTACTATTAACTATTCATTTTTAAGTATAAGAAAAAGTAGTCAAGTGTCAAGTTATATCGAAGTTTTGACTAGAACATTTACAGAGTACATGATCATTTTTAAAATGATTAAACGAGATAGTTATTTAATCTGATATTTACTCTGCACTTCACCAACCAATCTTTCAAGATGACTCAATATTCCGTATTTAATAATTTTAAAATTTATTCACTTTATTGCATCATTGGTATATATTTTATTTTCTATAATTTCGTTTAAAACCAGTTTACATTAGTATTAAAACGACTAACGTATTTTTATTTTCTACTACTCTCCTTTTGACTTTACCTATCTTTCTGGAGCAAACCAGATATGTCAAAGGAAATCGCGAAATCATTAAGACATATATCGACTAAATGTAAATTACGTTCAAGCTCACAAGTTAGCTTCGAAGTTAAATTTTCATTTTCTCTCGATTTCGTGACTACAATTAACGTTCGATGTAAAAATTCTTCTCAATAGCGGAATCAAACATTATTTTATCGCATATTGAACGAAGCAACAGAATGCATGCTAGTCATGCTTTCCTCGATACATGGATCGATAACTACTGGCATATATGCAAGTTAAAGCCTATTTGCATATTTAAGAGTGCAAACTTTCAATCCGGTTGCGCGAATGTTTTGATTTTAGAAAACCATGTGTTACGTTAATATGAAGTTTCTAGAACCTTTAGCACGAGTGTGTTCAATTGATAAAGACGTTGTATTGATTACTTTACTCGCATACATTCTACACTCGTCTGTAAAAGTCAAATAGTTTACTTCTTTCTACATTATCGCTTTTATTAAAAAAAAAAAAAAATCACGCTAGTAAACTGATAAAATGAATTACAATTAAGATTAAACTTGTATATGGATGTGCAATAAGATATTTCTGTTCAGCTCTAGATTTCATTTCAGCTGCTCGTACTCTGGTTTTCGTACGTATTTATACTTTGGAACACAATTTCTTGCCTATGGAAGGATATAAATTAAAATAATTACATTATCAAAACACACTAACATAAGTTAATGCACGTTTAACGAAAACGTTGTTCTGTTTTCCCATCTACTATGTTCGCTTCTTTTTGATTCCTTTCGCAACGTCAAACCGTATCGGCCAATTTCGAACGAAATGCGAGTCTAATGTTTGTGTTTTTCTTTTCGACCAATTTAATTCTATCGTTCTTTTCTTCCCTTTTTTCTTTTCCCTCCGAAAGGTACTTCATCGCGAAGATCGAACACTATCGAAAGATCGCATTCTCACTCACTCAGACCCAAAAAATAAAATGTTGCACCATGTTAGGCATTCATTCTGTAGATTCTCGCTTCGTTCCGGAAGACCGTGATTAATCATTCTTTTGGCTGTGCTTTTAATAACATTTAGTGTGGTCAATATAATATGACCAGCAAACATTTTATGGAAGATAACACGTTGACGGAGGTAAACGAATCACAATTTCGATTGCAAATGCGTGTATTGGCGTACACATATTATAGAAACGTACATACCTACATATCTATCACCAGATAATCCTATTATCCTCTTTTTCAAAAAGCTCCTCGATAACTTTATTTTGAAATTCTTCATTTGATCACATATTGTTTCATTTTTTATAAGTTATATCAACTTGTGATTGCTAATACTGAAATCGAGTGAAGATCTTCGTTTCGGTTATGTAATTAATTTGCTATTTGCAAATAACATTGACGACGCTACTACATTTTGACCAAATAATTTAGAAAACGAAGAAGAAGCAACGCTTTCTAAACAGACACTTTACGTCGCTTAGCAATAAATCTGTTGGCTCAAGTTCATTTATCTTTGCTACTTTCAATTTCGTGATTATAAAAATTTCTAACGAAAGAATCAGATCGGGGAAACATACCACGAGCCACAAATTAATTTATTCATAGACTAACTTTGTTAAAAGTACACTGAAACTGTCTGCGCGACAAAATGCAAAAATGACGCAGTCATTTTGCATTATAGTTAATGCAATTCATATTCTTATGCACATACATTTAGTGGACTTGATGCATGATGATACAATACATATTTATGTACATATGTACGTATGTAATTCATGATAACTAGCATATATGTAGTCAAGAACGTTTCTTGCAGAAGTTGTACCATGTGATTAGGATAGATATTCAAAACTATAGTTGAATAATAAATAATGCAAGAATTAAACATGCCATGATTCTCTATGTATAACTTTTTATCTCATAGAAATGCAAATACAATAATATTATTTGTCAAATAATATTATTATAGCAGAATATATAGTACAATATATAACATAATATGTAGTATAATATTATTTGTTAAAATTTTTAATCTACAGTAATGAAATAAAATACTACTGTGAAATGTTATACAGAGTATTACAAGAAAATTAATTAAATATTAAGTTAATCGTACAATTTCTTGGAACTACATTTACAGATTAAATATTACTACGTAAACTACAATGTTACAAATAAGGGGGAATTGTTCAAATGTAGGTAATTCAATTAATTATTCAAAAGTAATTATCGCGGTTAGTACAGTACAAATGAAGGAGAGAATCAATTCGAATACGTGCACAGCTACAATGATATAAGCGTATGATATAAGCGTATCGTTTTTTCAAAATCTTATGTTAAATCAAGAACGAAACAAACGGTTGCGACACATTGTTCTTAAGAAAGTTAGAATCAACTGAAATGCATCCGGCATTATATATAAAACGTGTACGAGAAAACTCCGACTCGTTTACCATCTATGGAAACCGACAATTTAAGAAATATGTGTTCAAATGAATGGCCGCGAAGTTGATAGCTACTTTGAGATATGCTCAACAGATTATTAAGAAAAAAAAGTATGGAAATGAAACACAAGACACTATATGTGATCTTACCGTGGTATTATTGAAATAAAAAATCTGCTTCCTACTGAGAAGAATGTCCGTTATACTTTCAAATTCTCAGCAATTAGTTGACACAGATAACCAACAGGAGCATAAGATCACTTGCATATTGCACATATCTTCGAATTATAATTTTATATGTCTATCGTATTACACAATTTTACCGAGATATTTGAGAAATTGCCGCGTTATACGCGCCTCGTAAGTGAACGCACACTACTTGAAATCACGCGACGAGTACTAACCTCTCGTATCGCATTTTCGCGGGAGAACCACGCGCGCGCGCAGATAGCCCATGTTTCTATATTATCCTTTTCGTTCACGTGCACGTTGCACGCATGCACATTACGGCCACTATGCAACGATGAAACTATGCAACACGATAGGCAGTCACTGGATCGTTGGCAAATATTCTTTTCCCTCTTCTGTCACCTTTTACTTTCGAATTGTTTCTGTTGCACTGTCTCGTTCGTCTACCGCTCTTTCCAGAGTCCCGTCTAACTATCTTGTCTGACTCTGTCCATTCGAATGATTCGTAATTCGAACGAGGATCACAATCTCGTTATGTTCGAACCATGCCCCGGTTCCAGAACCAATTCAGGAGATGGAAAAATCCACGACAAATAACCAGCTCGCGCATGCAGTTCTGCAAAAAACATAAGATACATCGAGCTTCCGCCAGCGCGCCACGCACTCTTGCACACGCGCACTTCAATTGTCTCCTCTTGCGCTCGTCTTTCCCGTGTCGCGGCGTCTCTATCCTCTTCTTTTTATCTTCTCTCTCGTGTAACAAGAAGCGGCAGTTCTCTCTGTTGAAAAACGTCACGGCGCACACATTGACTCTTGTTTTGCGATGTATCTCTGTAGAACCATTAATTTACGTTCCTCCAAAAAATTCTCCGTATTTCGTTTTATGCGAGTTCTTCTTTCTCCTCGAAAAGCCTCATTTCTAACGCTGTACCAAAGAAATGTTAGGAAACTTTTGACTAACGTAGTTCACTCACAAAGTGACGCACGGTCGAATGGATAGCGGTGATGAATGCATAGAAAGATATGTACACCGGGATAGTGAAACGTGAAAGAGTTGCGAGTGAAACGAATACGACACACTACCGATACATCTGATGCGCACTTGCATGCGGTCCATAACTCACTAACAGTGCTGGTAGCAACGGCACGCCGATGAGGTGCACGGTGGCCTGCGGGCACCGGCTGGGAGGGGGCACGTCTCTGGCACGGGGAGGAGACACGTCAGGCACTCGGCTGTCAGGAGAGCGAGGGGTCTTTCGTCGGAGAGTGGTGGTTGGATGGATGGAGGTGGCACACGAGTTTAGATGAACGTCAAGCTTTTACGATTGAATATCAGACTGATGCGTAAATTCTACTTACGTGCATACAGTGTTTGTAGAGAAGCTCGCCCATGCGAAAAGAGTGTTGCACTTTCGAGTGTACCATTTATCACCAGCGAATGATCTCGATGATCGATCGGATACCGCCAAATCAACTTAATAACGCAAATGAATTTCCCCATCGTTATTTGGAGAACGAAACTTCGAGAAAATATGGTATATATAACACGTATTAAATCAAACGGTCCTATAAGAGGAATAAATTATTGAATAATATGAATATGTCACTAATAGATTCGTTGCCAACACACTTCATTAAGAAATGTAATGTAACTACCAATGGCGCGAAGTAATCTGTATATGCACATTCAGTTGGTAATATGCGTTCGTCGAGTAATATAATAATGGCCGCCTCGAGAGATGTCAAATTAATCAAATGGTGCGATAATTTACCTTTTAAAAATGCTGTGCATCATTAGATGTTTGAAACTTTGCACAATTACGTATATCAAAGGTGAAAATAGGTAAGTAAATTCGTATTCAACTCAATTCGTAATTCGCGATTTATACAGGAGTTATTTAAAATTCATCAGCCATTTAAAATTCAAGATGATAACATTCCTATGGAAATGTCATTTTCTTAAATATTAGATATTCATTATACTAATTATTAGATAATTAAATATTCAATACACATTGAATAAAATAGTTACAAATGATATATAAATCATAATATTTATAAATATTTTGTTTCCGAAATTCTGCAAATAACAAGAAATTCTCTTCAATCTTCGCGAATCAAAAAGAAATTATTTCCGTTTAAAAATATTTCTGGGTATGTAACGAAAGAAACGTGGTAATAAATTAAAATAATATAAATGCAACATGGTGTCATGTTTGTATAATGCAAGTTATATTTTAATTTTATGAAGAGACACACTATAGATAATTTCTGCTTATATAAACAATACATATAAATGCTTGCAATATGCATAGATATTGCATATCTATTTGCAATATTTTACATCTTATGTAAATCAAATAATGAATTTTCTTTTTACTGTTCAGATCAGTTGTGATTGACACGATGTGTATTTTAACGACACTGTTTATACAACTTTAGGCAATCAATTAAGGCTACAAATCTAAAAATAGAATGTGTGCGTGCATGTGCGATTGCAAATAAACTGCAAGCTATAAAATAAATCTCTCCATACGAAAATTATTTGTATATGAGCTTTGTATTTAATATCCCTCTTTCCTTCATTTTACATAAACGATGCCTTGTATTCCTTGTCTTGGATGCAGGGGACCTTCTATAAAGCGTCTCCGGTTTATAGATAACTGAAGTGCTCATAGCAATTGTTCATTATGAAATAAAATATTTTATACATCTTTCTCTCAATTTATAGATCTTCAAGCAAATGTTTCTCTACTTTCTACCATCAAAAGAAATAAATATCTCTACAAATTTCTACATAAATCTCCTATTCCTATTATCTGAATCTGTACAATTAACACACGTATCCACGCACACATTTTACAAAATTGTTATCTCTTAAGTTAATTTTATGGAAACTTGACTTTCCACAAATGCATTATTCAATATGAATTCGTGACGTGCGAAAGTTTACTTTATATAATTATTTTCAATTATCAGAATATTATGCAGATATTATTTCTTTTCGATTCAGAATTCATTACGACGTTTGTTATTTGTACGTAACCGAGGTAAGAAAGCAAATGTTATCAAACTTTAATGAGGGAAAATAGTGATCGTTGCAGGGATGGACGTCAAGTTTAGACGAGTCGAAGGTAAGGATTGGTAGTTGAAGTGAAATGACAGTCGTAAAATGTCCTCAGAGTGGATTCACCGGATGATAATCAACGATAGATACACGATATTTCAGTAGTATTTTCTTTGCGGTTGAATTTACTGATTTACCTTACGACAATTGTCATTACAGAAACAAATTTTACGCATTCAGTAACGAAAATCTTTACGCAGAGCTTCTATGTCGAATTATTCCCAAATAGATCATAAATCTCTCTTATTGATTAGATTTGATTTTGCACGATTATTAGAATGAAAGTTTCTGCAATTATCTTTTATAATATATAATTTTTATTCTTTTCCTGCTACTTTTACATTAGTTTGGCATAAAAGATATTATATTCATAATTTCTTGACTAGAATTTAAATTTTTATAATTTTTCATTACCAAGAATTGAATTTGTAAAAGAAACGATTGCAATGTATATAAAATATTTTTCACCTAGACATTATTCGTATTCTCTGTGCTGCAGTCTTTCTTAGAATTGTATTGGTCAAATTCTTGTAGAGGAATTACCGTCATCCTTAAATTTCCATTCCATGTTTTTTGTGTTTGTTTCGCTCATTTTTTCTTCCTTTCTTTTATTTGTCTCCTCTGATTTTATATTTAATTTGGTGTTTGTCTTGAAAACGTTGCTTCTTATTCTTTCCTTTTTATTCATTTCTTTCAGACGGTATTTGTCAGAATTACATGTTTTCCTCCTTCCTGGGGTAACTTTGTTTTACTGCCTTTTGCATTTTTGTTACTCGAAAACAACCAACACGTTTTCGTACCAGTGCAATTTCGATTGATTCCAATTTTTTTTGTTGCATCCCTTTGAATTATATGTAATTTATAGTGGATGTATTTTGCGGACGTATAAATTATGCTACTGTATGTATAAAAATAGAGCATAATAGTATAGTAGTAGTATATCCTTTTTTTATTTCATATACATACAATGTTTGAATATGTATTTTATTTTTTAAAAATTGAATATTTATCGCACACAAATTTTAAGTAGAACAATGCAGAGTTTGATATTACCATCATTTATAAACTGGTATTAAAGTTATTTTAGATTTGTATTTATGTATTGATACTAATTTTCGACTTAATCAATCGAAAAAAAAATATCGAATAGAAATACCATATCGTACGAAACTTTTTTTCTTACGTTTTCTTGGAATGAAACAATTCACATTCAGTGTATACACGTGAATGTGTTGTACGTTGCATGTAACAAAATATGTCGCCATTCGATCAATTGTATTTTCCAACGGAATGTACTTCTACGCAATGTCTGGTCTCGTTTTATCTCCATAAACGACGTTTGGAGAAAAAAAACGGAAAGTGGACAAGTATAAAGGCATCAGTTGTTCATGTGGGCAGTATTTATTTTCTGCAGAATTTATACAAATCAGGGTCGAAGTCCTGTAGATTAACGTGGATTGGTGGTAGAAATGCCATGTACATGTACTTCTGTCAACACTAAATCGACTTTTAGACGATCGCTGCCACGCATTCGAATTATTGTTAATTCAAAGAATCTCTAGAATACTAACTAATCGAAAACGAGCAGCATGTTAAATATAGTCTATAGTTTCCAAGTATGTTGTTATTTTTTTTTATTGAATGACTTAATTTCCTAACACTTTGACTGTCGTGCTATTTTTTGTATTTTTATAAAACAAAATATTTCATTAAACTATTATATTACGATAAAAATCGTAATATGAAGCGTACTCATTTTATAATTCTAGTTAAACTTCTAGTTAAATTTTAAATATCACGAATAAGTTAAAAATAAGTGACTTTGTATTTGTTGCTTATTACAGTAATACTTTTAAGCATTGAGTATTTTAATAAGTATTATGATAAATATTAAAGTTATCTATACTTGTGAAAAGTGATGTGCATAATTCTAATGTTTCTTTAATCTAATGTTTTTTACAATGATTGTCAAAGACAGAAGAAATAAGCAAGAATACATAGGAAGATATTTTGGAAGCAAAAAACCTGTGACTCTACGAATTCATGGCAAAATTTAAATATACGATTCAATTGTTAATAAAAAATAAGATACGATTAATAAGACTGAGATTGTGTTTAATACATCACACTGAAGAAAGAAGCAGAATCAAAGAAAAAAGACGATTAACGATCGGCTTTCTGTAATGATAAATAAAATTACGTAACGATCTGAAAATGCACTAGCTATGCATCTAACTATGCCACGAACCAAGTTTAAACACTGTATCAGACTCAACAAGTTTATACACTGTCTTAACCTGTACTTGGCAGTTCTATCTGGCACCTGTTCATCCGGTTTGATACATTCAGTTGTATTAATTATGTCACATACTTTGTATGTTATTTTTGTTATACTTGTATATATTATTTTTGTGTAGTTAATATACATAAGCGAAAGCGTGGAATACTTCGTTGCCAGAACAATTGTTGCATCTTCAATTATTTATCTATTCTTCTTCGTGTTGACTTTTCGAAACCACGCGCTTCCTATTATATAAAGTTACAACTTGAGGAATGCACATTCGTCACTTGAACGATGATAATAGCCACGTTATGTAATGTAAAATGAAAGCTTTTTAAATTATCGTGTTTTAGAAAAGAAGTTAGAAGATATTTATAGAAGATATTTATAGAAATGCGTGATTTTTTACAAGCAAATTCTAATCAAAGCTATGTTATAGAAGTAATAAATTAGTATTTTCTTCTTGAACATTAATACATAGGTACTTATTCAAGTTATCGCTTTGGAGATTTTATTATTTTATAGTGCGTTATTTATAATATCCGCACAATATCTATGACTATATGTGTGTCTTATAAGTCACGTACTATTAAGTTTCAATAATAAGTTCAAACTTTATTTATATGTTCTTGGTAGTTACATCTATGTACCTAAATTTATATATTTATGAACAGAATCTGAAGAAACTGAAGATTTAGATGGAGATTCTCCTCATATTGGAGCAAAATGCTAAGAAAATTTATTATTCATAGTCGTATTATCAATTTATTATCATATTCATAATCATATTCGAAGGGAGGCAATGGAATCAGCAATATCATTTGACTCTTCCGTTTTCTTCTCTTTTCATTCTCGTTCTTTCCTTCGCGACCATTCCTCGCAATTTGAATCGATGCCACACACTTACCTCCATACGCACACGCACACATACACATTTGTGCAAATAGTAAATGGCCGCGAACGAGTGTAGATCGCTGATCTTTGCTTCGGTTACAGTCCTTTCTGTAAAGTGAACGAGAATCGTGAACGTGAGTGAAAAATAGCTTGAAAACTAGTCGACAAAGTATAGACTGGCTCATGATCACCTCGGATGTTGGTCGCGTTTTATCGACGACTGTACCGACAGAAATAGCACGCCGACCAATCGGTTTGTAATACAAACATTGTATGTGATTTCGTTTCAACGTAGCTTATGCATACATGCTCATTGCGTGCACCGAGGAACGCAACGTGCGTGGATCATCACAAAGTGCGTAAACGTCATGCAACGACAGCACACGTATTGGAGCACGCATGAACTATTTTGGAGCACGCGAAATATGTGCGCTCCAAATGGAACATGTTCCTTTACCGCAGAAACAAACATTACTCTTTTTTTTCTCTCTTCTTTATTAATTTAAGGTTCTTACAAACATGTTCTCGTAGGGAATTATCAGTAAATTTGATCACTTTATATTAACGTACAGCAATTAGATTGAAAGTTTCTCCAAGAATCTAAAATTTTGATTCTTCATTACAGGGTAGATTTTTAATCGCTAAATTCTATATTCTAGATTGAAGATCCGATATTCGAGATTATATTAATTACATGAATTATTTATCCTCTGACAAACGTAGTATAAGTGTAACTTTTTCTCACATGGTTCCATAATCTTGCAATTTTTTACAATTAACGAACGAATTAATTAAAATTATCGGAGTAATTTTAATGTTAATAATTTTAGTGTGAAGCATGTCACACTTGTCGATAATATATATAAGTTCTACGTAACGTACACAATTTAATAAATAGCTTAACTAAACGATATTGATATTACGTTTCGTGGAACACAAACGAGAACACGTCTTATCAGAGACGCAGGAAGTGATAATGGTAATTACTTCCTATCGGTGTATATCCAAAGTTTAATGTTACATCCTTCGCACTGATATTTCTGATAATCCAAACATTGATAATTCGGCATGAAAAGGTGATTATGTTCTCTTCGAAGAAACTGATACATGATTTGGATACAAACAAATGTGTTAATTTATTCTGACTGTAGCCATAATGAATTGTAACTGCTATTGTTAGGTTGAAATTAGCTTCTTATGTAGAAATTGTAAAATCTTGCATTTTACAACCAGCAATTTTACAGAATTTTCTATAATTCTGTATTAAAAGCAAAATTAAGGGAATATCTCATTGGCTTAATCGATCAGTGACCATCTAATAATAAGCAATATAAATTTTATAAATCCTAATAAAGAAATAAATAAAAGAACGTTAGGTGAATTTACCGATTTTTTAATGAGCAGCTAAATGAAAAAAAAAAATTATTCGATCGTACTTTTAATGACAACTAAATGATAGACATAGAACTCAATCGTTGCATTCTCGTGCAATAGACTTTCACACGATGATCTCGCGATTACCACTAAAACACGCATGCAACATTGTAAATTGCTGTGTGCTCTGAAACAAAATACTTTGTACGTTCATGTCGCTGTTGAGGTTTTTACCGGTGTTGCCACTGGCTTAGGTTACAAATTCTACCGGTATTTCTTCTTCTCTGCGCCTCTTTTTGCTCTTTTTTCAGCGCCTGTTCGCGCGTCTACCCTCTTGTCACGATTCCGGTATTCGCGTTTCGTCTCGCGGTACATCGACTCTTATAATTGTTGAATCTTATATTAATATAATATAGTTTTTTAGCTCTTTTAATTTCTCTTTTTTAAACAAAAAAATTTTTTTTAATAGAATTCGCTAGAATTTGAAATGTTTTCGACTGAAATACAAGTACTGGAACGTTTAAAATGGAAAATTCTTTTTAATTTCATAAATTAGAACCTATTACCTAATACCTATCTATTATCTTATTACCCTATTACCTAAAATGTAGTGTCGGATTTTTTGAAAATTTTAATGATCGTAAAAGTGGCAGCAGCTTGGAAGAAAGTCAATTTTAAACGTTTCTAAAAAAAAAAAAAAAAGAAAATAATAACTGCAACATGAAAAAGAATCCTACGTTCCATTTAAAAATACAGTATAAAGGATGTTCTTTCAAAATTCAAAGGAAATCGAATGTATAATTTCCGAGATTTTGTAGTTGGTAGGTCAGGAAAAAAATATCGCCTGAAGTAACACGCAGCAGTTTCGTGCGGAATTGATGGCGTGGAGAAACTTTTTTTTTTTTTTTTTCTTTTTTTTTGGATTACCACACATCCAACGAAGCGATGGGTATGCGAATGCGCATTTTTCCCTCCTCGCGAAGAAGAAAGGAAACGATTAGGGAATAGAGAATTACGTTTCAAAAAAACGTAAGAGAAATCTTTTAGAGATATAACATAATACTCCCTTGATACTAATTTCACGAAATGATGAGAAAAATAATTTGAACTGTAGCACGAGTAAAATAATACGCTTTCTCCAGTGTATGAATCAGTGTTGGTGATTTATGTGAAATTTGCATTTCCAATAAGTATCTTATAACTTTTGTGTATGTTTTCAGATCGCAACGGTAATTGTTTTATTACAGTAATGAAATTTCAAGACGCTATAAATGATCTGATTCTCTGTTTGAGTGCCAATCAATTTCTAAGCTCTAATACTTCTTTCCATGTTTTTAAATTTTGATTTTGCAGAGTCTGTTGTAACGTCCTTTTTTGCAAACGTTTTTCTTTGTATCTATTCTTCAAAATTACGTACATTACTCCTTTATTTCTGCCTGTAAGTATTCAAATATCTTTGTGAATCATTCTAGGTATAATACATTATGTTGGGTATACATTTTGCGAAGCTAAGTTCTAGGAACAGATGAAAATAGTGACGAGAAATTACTAGAGTGAAATCTCGGCCGTTTATCAGGATATTGTTACTTCCATGATTGTTTCTCAAAATGTAGAAGACTTTGATATTTAAAGATCATTTTGGATGTCAGCGCCAATGACTCCACAATATACGCACCTGCAAAGTAATAGATCTTCCTGGTTGACGGATACTACTAACTGCTCTTGTAAAAAGAGTTTAATTTATGACACTCTCTAATGTTCCTCACTTTCTCTTCCCGCATCCTATAACGATGAAATTAAGTGACCATTTTGAGCGCTTGGAGCTTCGCTATTTATAATAGCTACGCATAATTACAATCCGTGAAACAGACGACTGATCGCCGCAAGATACACTGCCAAACGAATTTGGAATCATGAAATTTCGAACAAACGACTCGAGGAAACGGGGACAACATAATAAGAGAAATGGTAATATTCGACTTGGAAGATAGTTCTTCTTCCACAGTTGAACTCACAGTAAAAAATTTTCTCCCTGAGTAGAGGTGAGTAAGAGAATTAAAAATTAGAAATTAAAAATTCCAAAATTCAGTCATGTGACAGTGTAAATAGCAATGGCTTCCGAATGTCCGATAATCCATTAATACTGAATGCATTCATATGATGAAGAATCAAAGTTTGAGAGGCAATGAAACCGATCTCAAGATGCAAGTGGAACGACATACCAACCGAGACAAGTGGTCAACCGCTGTGCATCATCATTTTTGCAAGACGGAACAGCATTTGGGTACGCGAGAGAGCAAGAATCTTGGCTACGTGCGCACTCGGCAAAGTAAAAAAGCCAGAGAAAAAGATATTGCAAAGATGGAACGCGAGCTGAAGGTGAGAGGAACGGTGTGCCAGAAAGGAGAGAAAGAGAGAGAGAAAGAGAGAGCACGTTGGCGAGGAAGCCGGTTGAATGAAACACGAGAAAAAAGTGCAACAAGTCGTTCGATGTCTGGATCTTGGCTTTAGCAGATCTCTGTCTTGTACACATTGTAAATGGTAATCGCCATTTGATGCATCAAACTTGAAGCCCATCTTTTACCGCACAGCAAGGTGAGCGCATTATACCTGGCCGTAAAGACGATTGAACGTTTGTTACGCCAATGGTCGCATAGCATTGGTCGTTGCATGTTTCTTCTTCGTCGTCCCGCCTCCTCTACGCCGTTTCTGTGGGCATCTTAAGATTTGTTCATACAACAAACAACGCTCGTTGAAATCGGCGACACGACAGAAATTTCAAGCCGACGGAGAAATTTCATTTTCCAGAAATTACAGATCGGTTATATCTTCCAGACAGATTGCAATGTCGTCGCGAGAGACGAGAAACTACCAAGTTGGTTGTGTGTGCGTGATACGTTGTGAGTCGAGCCTAATTCGTTCTCTCGCCGTCAGGTCGAGTGCTGCCACATCGTTCATCTCCTCACCGACAAAGTAGCAATGTTGCATTCGAATTTATTCCATACCATTCATCTTCCTTGGAGCTAAACTCTCTATTCAAGATTATAGTTAGACAAGGATACCGAGCATTGGCGTAGGCAGTAGTTTCTGCTAACTTTTATTGGACATTGAAGCAGTGACAAATTGTTTGTAAACGAGAAACGGCGAATAGTTGTCTCTAGCTTTGTCTGACGATTTCTAAGACTACATATAAAATTTGATATATTATCCCAATTATACGAAATAACATTTTAAGGATATTCTTTATCATATTCGTCGTTTTTCCATTATATTTATAAATTGATAGGCAAAATGTCGTTTTGAAATAATTTTTACAATTTTTAACTTCCATTATACATTTTTTTTTTTTAATGTAACATCTTTCACTTTTCTCCATCTCAGAATCGAATTTACTCGAATCTATTGTCTTTCAGTTTTCGATTGTAAGTAGTACACATCGACGATATATTTACGTGCTTTCTTTTTTTTTATAAAGTTTCCGTCTTTCCAATCGAAATTTGGTAACCGTGATACACTTTGAAATAATGCTACTAGCTACGCTTGTCTAAATCAAACAATGCAATGAATGAAACCGCAACTACATCTCCAGTTTTTATGAGTAACTGAAGAAAAGGAATTCCTCGGTGTAGTCTCGATCTTATCAAGTGTCAACGCGACAAATCGCGCCACACATTGTCCGCTATTGTCGACAGCTTTTTGCGATGAAATTTCACCAGCATATTTTTATCGATTGTAATATCTTTATATTTAATAATTTCCTACTTACTATCACAATTCTATTATATTAATTTTGGTTTTCACTTTCCAATAATAACAAAAATTTAAACGTCTTTTTTAATAGCTCCGGTAATTTGTATTGTTAGATATCCAACGGTCAGCATTGAAAAATTTTTTACGTATCAATTTGCCCGTGTATCAACTTATCCCAGCTTATTTCGAACGCGGTGCATACCGTTTGTATAACCGCAATTTCATCTTCGAAAAAACCGCGAAACGTTCGAGTACCCAGATCTGCAAGATACAGCCACGACCGATCGATTCGTCGGGGATCAGATCGGCGATATTGAGATTGCAGAGATTACTACGTTACCTTTATTTACGACGTTGTAAGTGTAAAAAGAAACTGGATCGATCGAGCAGATTTTGCTGGATAAGAATTTCGCAGCCTTTTCCTCGGCTTTTCTGCGGTATAATTATAGAGGTAAGAAATCTAAATGCACTTTCGTGCAAATAGTTTCTGAACATTATAAGATGGTAGTCTAATATAATCACAAGGAAGGTAAAATAAGAAACATAAGTTTTGGAATTTAGATTGAACATTACACTAATTTGCTCGGTATTTAGGATTGCGGAATCCTATAATCAAAGTAACGTCGAAATGAAACTTTTCATTCGTAAAGCAAATTCGTTTGCTCAAATTATTGATCTATATCGTACATTACAATATGGCATTAGATTCGAATTTGTAATGGTTACAATTGAAAAACCCAATTAGTTAATATCAGTTAACTGCGTTCTGTAAATGCGTAATTTGATTAAAAATTCATGAGAATAAAAATTAAATTCTCCTCCAATTTCATTTGTACATAAATTATTGTACATTTTGTTCCGTCATTTTACGGAATGCATTCAGCTTATAAGATAGTTTACGTAAAAAATAAAAAATTTTCTTTCAAAATTAGTCCATTTGAATAATCAACCAAGAATATCATTTGCCCGGAATTGTACATGCGACATTCTAACTACAATTTGCTTTTATATCTCGCTTGCGATCGGTTAACCAAGACTATGCACCGGTTTCCCCCTTTTCATTGCATGACAATCTTCCGTCGATTGGCTGGTGAGTAAGGGTTAACAGCAGCGGCATTATTGGCGATTCACGAAAGGATCTTCCGTCGATTTGCTCCGCTCTTTTATGCGTGTATTTCATACTTGGGAGAATATCGTTCTTTCACATTCGTTTTCTGTCCTCTCTTCTCTCCCGCCTTTCTTTCCTCTTTCATCGTTGCTCGCCACCGATACCAATGACACTATAATCAAAACGGATCGTTGTTTCGAAACACCATTGCGGAGAAAAGTTTTTTACGTCGGTAAACCAGTTTCTGATGTCGCGGTCGGCTTCTTCCCTTTATTTCAGTCTGCAACGTCACTATCCACCTTTTTCTTCGTTTCTTATTTTGGAAATAGCTTTCGCGGATGATATTATAATGAATCGCTTCATTCGCTGGTTATTCAAGAACTTCTCCCTTGGTCAGACTTCCAGTTTAATCACTTGTGCAACGATCAGAAAATCAGGATCGTTTCAAATAAAATGAAATAAAATGTTAGTCAAAGTCAATTTAATTGAATTATCAATTTATTTATTTATTTTATCAGATTTTTAAAATTGATTATCCGAGAGTTTCAAGAGTTATAAAAATTCGGACAGTCACGAATTTTGTTACTTTAGCTACCCTGTGTTTAATTTATTCCCACTTAAAATTCCTTCATCTGACCCTGATCACACGTTCCTCGAAATCTATACTTTCCCAACGCGGTCTCGAATACAAATTGATTACAGTCAGTTGAAAGCGCCAAATCACTTTAGGCTCGTTTATCAATCGTCGTGTGACGATATTTTGGAAGGAAGTTTGCCAGCGATCTAAATGGTACGGGACACGGGTGAAGGGTCGAATAAACTGGACATCTGGGGATGGAACAAGATGATCGGCCCTCTAAAATTGATCTTCCACGGCTGTGGCTTCCGGCGAAGATACTAGCAATTCATACTCATATCTCCTGGTGCAGTTGCATCTGACGGCTGACTGGCTGTTAACGAAGAGTCAGCCACCATTTCTTGGTTATTTTCGGTACCGTGGTCTTCAGTCTTCTTACCGATGAGAGTTATTTCTTACTAGGACATGCGTGCCCTTCTCTGGTATGTGCATATGCTGAAAATGTTTCACCAGACTCGTGGTGTAGCATCAGTTGATGATCCTGTTTATATCGCGGGAATTATGAGCCTATCGGAGGAGGATCGAATACAACGTCCACGTACTATGCTAATGTCGTGCGGTTACTTTCTTCGTTTCTCGTACCTTGTCACCGTTTTCTCCACGCACCAGACTCAAAGAGATGAAAGATCGCCTGAATATTAGTGCGACGTCTCCTATCTTCTTGATTGTCGGAGGCGTGCGTTATTTGGATGTCGTAATTGGATACCGGTGCGTCGTGTTATTAAGCACGTGGAATTTTGGCCGACTGTACGTATCTGTTTTTAGGTACATTGTCATGTCGAAAGCAAAAGTGGAGTAGGGGTAAGTTGATATCATTAGATCTGAATTTATAGTTTAGGATTGAAGGTGGTAAACAAGAGTTTTTGTTAAATATTATATATGGTTTTAAAATGTTTTAGATTTTGAGCTTTATTATCTACGCGATAAAGTATTCTCATATTTGAAAGGAACTTAATTTATAATCCAATAATACCAGTTTGTTAACTTAATTTATTCCAATAAATTATATTAATCACGTCAAAGTGGAGAAATTTATTTTTTTTCTAAATCAATTCTAGATTACATAACGAAACCAACTGTCGTACATAAACGTTTTATGCTTATACATCTATTTTAAGTAGTGTATTAGTTAGAAGATTGAGTACTAAAGTTAATCTTGAGATTATTTACTCTCAATGTTTTACTTTCGTATAAAGGTAAAATTGCTTGATCATAAACAGATACCTCTTATATGGTCAACGATATTGGATGGAAAGTAACGAATTAAATATTATAATGGTGTATGAACTGTATAACTTATTATGTTATATTGTATACGTACAGTGAATAGGATTTTCTTTTTACTGAGGCAATTTGTACGAGAAAAGTTGAACATTTATCAAAATTAATGTTTTCAGACTGTTGTAAATAAGTTTCTTCTTCTATGAATGCGATATAATTGATAATGATGTGGATCTTGTACAATTAAAGTAATGAATTGCTCATGTTTCATTCATCTAATTCATTGCTTACCAATTAGATGAATTTGATTAATTGAGCAATTAAGATAAAAAAGGTAACAAAAAGTAGAGTTTCCAGTGATGTATGGATTTACAAATAGCAAGAAATTTGTAGATTTAATTCCTACTTTTTTCAAACTATACGGAATTACTTTTACTATTTACTTTTTTGCTTATAATTGACGTCAGAAAGGTACAAGAATTTCTCGTTCTCGATTTGAAATTTGTTACTTAATTTGCATTTCTTGCGTATTTTACAAACTCCATATCTACTGTCTGCTACTATGAAATTAACTATTTTTTACATACGTCATTTACATATAATAATTTTTCTATATATATGTATGTATGTATGTATATATGTGGAATCTGATATTTGTTGTTCGTTAGCGTCTGTACCATATCTTATTTTCCTTCCAGAGTTAAACGAAAAATTAAAATCTTGTTCCAGCGGTCGCCTGCCTTCAAGGATGGAAAGATAAATATTCTCGCGGCGCAAATACAATTTGCTTGGAATGCGAGGAAGGTGTCCGACCAATGCATCGGTGAGTACGCCAGCTTGCTGGAAGTACGATCTTCGTGATAAAAACACCCCTTGGCGCAGGATGATAATTACAAGATAAAAGAAAACGATAAAAATCAATCAGAGGTCACCGATTCGAGATTACAAATACGCAATGGGTAGCAGCTCGAGCGGACTGAGGGTGGGCCGAAAAAACTGGTTTCAGCTAATGATGGACTACTTGCAGCCGAGCCTGACAGATCATAATGCACTTTTTTGATATCAATAACCTCGTCCCAGATTTTTTTAACCAAGTAAGTTCTTTCGGTGAACGCGCAATCAACAATCCTTCGTGGTAACAGAATCTCTTGTGGAAAAAAATATCGCGATTTTTCAGTGCATAATCTTTGTTCCGTTCGTTGTCTCTTCGGGTCTGAAACGACAAAAAATTAATTGATCAATCAAATTGCAACTTCACGCTTGTATTTCATACATTGCTTTAGCTTCCTTACTGAAATTATAATTTTACTCGCGGTAACAAATTAAAAAAAAAATTTTTTTATTCAGTTACATTGAAGATCTGTTTGCTGAGAGTTTTGGATTTTTTTAATTATATGGGAAGAACAAATTTGAGTCCGTTATTTATAGATGTCGGTTAACGTTATAACATAGAAATTACAGAGAATTCCTGTAATAAATTTCACATTATGTTTGGCATAATCGTAAAACGTAGAGTATAAACACGAATGGCTCTTTAGGTGTGGGAAATCAAATCTGACAAATATTATGATTATATTTGCCAACTGATCGTCAAAAATGGAACGTGTCTTCAAGTAGCTTGAGTCAGTAAACGATTTCGGAAGATATGCGCTTGATATTTCTATTTTTTGAGAATTTCTGTAAGAGTTTGGAATTAATAATTGGAAAGAGGTAATTTTATACTTATTGAATTTGTAAAAAAATTTTCTGGAATTAATTATTCCGGGATATAAATATTAAATTTTAATGGGATTATAAATATAAAAAAAAATTATAATATAAAAATTTTTCCAGGATTAATCTTTTTAGAACTCTTTAAAAAATCAAATATACCAGAAATTATTTTAAAATTTTTAATAATACTAGAGATGTGTTAGAGAATTTACTAATAATGTATATGTATACTAATAATAATAAAAAGTATATCTTTCTTAATTCGTTTTTCATAATAAGTAATACTGATTTTCATTGGTTTTAAATTATAAAATTATATAATTTAAATTTAATAAAAGTTGGAGTACTGAAAATTTGTATTGCAAATTAAAATTTACAATTAGTGAAAGCGAACAGTAGTCGAACGCACTCTATATAGCAATCATTTGAACAGAGAATATGAAGCAGTCGATACGACTTTTATAAATATATGTTATGGAAAAGAGTTCTTTCCCCTTAGTTACAGACGAGGTATATAAATAAATCAAGCATCTTACGAGGTTTCGTGGCCCGTGACCTGAAATACCGACACAGTAAAAAACCACTGCTTTTTTAGCGCACTCTACGTTCAAACAACGGTGAATTGGGGAATTACATCAAGTAAAACGATCGAAGTTGGTCAAGTAGTGAATGTGTCAGGATTTTTGAAACCCATTACAGTGCTTAAATGTTTAAATCGATACTCTTTTCCTTCTTTTTTACGAATTTTTCATGAATTTTGTGTATTTCTGACCAGAATTTTTTTATTTTTTATTTCCAGTTAACATTTCGTATGAAACGCGCGATTGTAGCGCCAACGGTGATATACGAAATACACTTCCTACGATTCTGGAATATATCGATATTTCTCATGATCGATTTTTAAGCAGCAAACATGGCGGAAGGAAGCACACCTAGTCTGTTTGAGGAAAGTGTTGGTTAGACAAATCATTCAGAAAGAAGTATCGTCCAGAAGTTCTCAGGTAAAAATTCAAACATTTAAACAGAATATACCATGTTAAAAGTTATTTATAATTTTATATCAAAATTTAATTTCAATTCCAAACAGTACAAATATTATAACCTTGTAACCTGACTAACTTATTATTATATATAAAATGCTTTTATTTCTATTGTAACATTTTTTACTCATTTGTTAATTTTTTAACTCCATATATTGTGTAATTCTTAACAATATTAAATTCGACAATAATTTATTAAAAATGTACGTATTTAATGACTAAAATAATAATTCTATTGCGTAATATAATAAAATTTCTAAGTTTAAGGTATTGACAATTTTTCATGTAGTGTATGAATATTTTCGTTTTTTTTAAAGAATTTTTCTTGAATTTTGTGTATTTCTGACCAGAATTTTTTATCTTTTATTTCCAGTTAACATTTCGTGTGAAACGTGCGATTGTAGCGCCAACGGTGATATACGAAATACACTTCCTACGATTCTGGAATATATCGATATTTCTCATGATCGATTTTTAAGCAGCAAACATGGCGGAAGGAAGCACACCTAGTCTGTAAAGAGGAAAGTGTTGTCCAGAAAAATCATTCAGAAAGAAGTATTAGGTGAATTCCAGAAGTTCTCAACTAAAAATTTAAATCAACTGTTTTAGATTTATGTTTGTATTGTATATTTTTATGATAAAACGTGCATTTTTGGCTTCAACTCAAGGTAAGATTTAACCAAATAATCGTTACATGCAATTTTCAACAATTAAAGAAATAATATAAATATTTAAACAGAATATATCATGCTAAAAGTTACTTATAATTTCATACCAAAATTTTAATTTTAACCAGTAAAAATATTGTAACCTTGTAATTGACTAACTCATTATATATATGTACATGTATTTTATTATATGTTTTTACACACATACTTGTATTACAACATTTTCTACGTGTTGTGTAAGGCTCTTAAAATCGCATATACTGTCTTTTCAGTGTCGCAAATAAACACTTTCGACTAAACGTATCGAGACAGTACGAGAAATCAACACAATGTTTATGTGTCTATCCTAGTTATGCCTGTTCGTTGAAGATCAGCCCAAGCCCTACTCCTCAATTGTGTGATGAAACATGTAGCGAAGAGTCATTTGGTTCTCGAATTTCGTGACAACAACACGCATTACGTTGTATGTTCGTAATCTTTTCTAACCTATCGGTAGCGTCTAACCTATCAGATTTCCTTCGATAGCGTCGCTTCTTCGTCACTCTTTTACTTCCACTTATATTTCATTAATAGTATATTTAATTAATACACTTGTGTGTAACGATTAGTCGAGCATTACGGTAACGAAATCATGTATTGCCAACTCGGTCGTCGAGTTCACTCGTACAGTTACTGGTAGCTTGTCTCGTGCATTTCTTTAGTAGAATTTAATGTTGATTATCGTTTCATTTTTACACATTTGTCTTCGTTTCATACATTTGTTCTAATTTTTGGTTTATTTTGCAGGTTATTTCTTGATTGCAGGATAGAACACATAGACACACCGATTATAAATGGCTCATGTAATATTCTTTGACGGAAATTTGGTAACATTTCATTTATTTTAGATATACACGATTGATCCGTGATTAAACGATTCAAAGCAAGATTTCACACGCG